ATTTAGTTTGTACTCGAAACTCTTTATTCCTTTTATAGTGTTTTTATCAAGCTTAAGATAAATAATATTACTGCACCACGTGGGAAAAAAAACTCAATCAATGGAAAAAAGGAGGAAGAGAAACGGAAGAGCTAATAAAAATTTTGTAAATTGTGGGATCCTTAATGAATTCAAGTAATTGATGTAGAATTTTTTTGTAATTCTTTCATCGGAATCAGGTCTTTTTCTGTTTTGATAAAAACAGCTTATACATTGCCTGATGCCACATACGAAGCTGTAACACACGGCACAGCAAATTTTTTTTGAAAATTTTCATACTGAATTAAAACGATTTTTATACTGCTCCAGAAAAGTAGAGCAGCTGGAAGCTTATTGTTCCGACTTTCGATACGAAAGTAACGGAATTTTTGTGCTCGGGGTGGGTTTTTTTTCTTCAGACAAATTTCGACTTTTTAACTAGCCATTTTTGACGGAATTTTTAAAATATCATTCGAAAGCCATTGTTGTCTTGAACTTAAATTTGAAAAGATAATTCACCTGTGATCATTTTTTGTAGAGTTACGGGGGTTTAAAGATTGCCATTTTGGCCAATTTGGGACAATTAACGCGCGATATATTTCGCGCTTTTAACGCGTAAGCGGAGATTTAATCCGTCTTAGAAATCATTCCAAATTGGTTGAATGAAACTTACTTGCCATAATTGAATTGTTCCAAGGAGCGAAATCTATCCTTTTGTACTTTATATGGCGTGTGGGGGGATGATTTTCATAAAAAATTTCAAAATTTTGATTTTTTTTTCATTTTGTTTTTTTTTCATTCAAAAGGTATTGTTGTTCTGAGCTTAAAAATGAAAAGATATTTCACCTGTGATCTTTTTTCTTAAAGTTATGAGGGTTTAAAGATTGCCATTTTGGCCAATTTGGGACAATTAACGCGCGATAATTTTCGCGCTATTAACGCGTAAGCGAGATTTAATCCGTCTTAGAAATCGTTCCAAATTGGTTGAACGAAGCTTATTTGCCATAATTGATTTGTTACAAGGAGCAAAATCTATCCTTTTGTACTTAATATGGCGTGTGGGGGGATAATTTTCATTTAAAAAATTCAAATTTAAGAAAGAAAAGTTTTCATTTTGTTTCATTTCATTTAATTTTTTAAATGTTATTGCTGCTCCATAAACCTTTAAAGGCAGTCGGAAGATTCAGGGCTTCGCCCTGATACGAGCAATCTTGTTTGGTTTAACATCTGACGAATGATGTCTAACTTCCAAAGAAAATGTGTCGACATTTTTCAAAAACAAGCAAGCTTGATCGTACCAGGGCAAAGCCCTGAATGTTCCGAATGCCCTCCAAGGTTTATGGCGAAGTAATAACATTAAAAAAATGAATGAAAGAAAAAAATAAAAATTATTTTTTTTCTAAAAATTGGATTTTTTTTTTGAAAATCATCCCCCCACACGCCATATAAAGCACAAAAGGATAGATTTTGCTCCTTGTAACAAATCAACTAAGGCAAATAAGCTTCTTTCAACCAATTTGGAACGATTTCTAAGACGGATTAAATCTCGCTTACGCGTTAATAGCGCGAAAATTATCGCGCGTTAATTGTCCCAAATTGGCCAAAATGGCAATCTTTAAACCCCCGTAACTTTACGAAAAATGATCACAGGTCAATTATCTTTTCAAATTTGAGCTCAAGAAAACAAAACCTTTCGAATGATTTTTAAAAATTCCGTCAGATATGGCTAGTTAAAAAGTCGGAACAAAAACATTTTCAGCCATGTATAACTACATTTGAAGCACTCCAGGTGCCGCCATAACATGAAACTTCTAATTGTTCTGACAACTCACAATGGGGAAGAATTTTACCTTCCTAATTGCTTCATCTTTCCTTCCATTTTTTTGCTTGCCAAGCAAATTCAAGAGCCCAAATTATGATCCGAATGGAGCAAATGATCTATCGTTTTAACGCCTTTTTGATGTCTCGTACAATTTTAAGCAAATTAAGCCAGATATCCTTATTGATCCTGTGAATAAAGCAAGCTACCCGAGAAATCGACTATCCAGGTTTTGTTTTGCATTTTGTGGAAACTCTTTTGAGCGTTGATTTTTAAAGCGTGGAACAAATCGTCTTGACAACAATCAAGACTGCTTGTATCAGAAAGATTAGGTAAACATTTTGAGTGCATTTTCATTTCTATGGAGTAGTTTAAGTTAAAATAATCGTTGAAAAAGGACAAAAAAATGCAAAACTTAGAAAATGTTTTTTTTTTATTTAAGAAACCCCGACCCCACACGCTAAGTACAGTACAAAGTGATGTGTTTTGCAAATAGCAAACTATTGAATAGACCAAAGAGCAAGCTTTAACTCAAATTGAAACGATTTCTAAGACGGAAAAATTTCTCCGCTGATGCGTTAATGGCATGAAAAATACCCCGCGTTAATTGTCTCAAATTGACAAGCTTTAAATCTCCATAAGTTTACAATAAAAAAATCTCAGGCGAAATGTCTTTTCAAAATTGAGCTCAAGAGAACAATTCTTTTTGACTGTAAAAAACTTATTGAGAAGTTTGTCTCAAAAAAATACCACCCGAATACAAATATTCCTCAATTTTCTTCGAAAGTAGTCAGAACAAGAACGTGATACAATGTGATACAATGTGAACGTAAATTTGTCCAGCAATTGAGAAAATTGAAGATTTACCTTTTCAAATTGTTCGCGGATGTAACAAAAATGAATCAAAATGGCATCGAAAAAAACTGACATAAATTGACTTTGGGAAAACTTGATTCTTCGAGCCGCTAAAAAGGGCTCTTTTTTCATTTTTTTTACAATTTTTTTTCAATCGCTCAGTTTTTTTTTAATTTCAAATAAGACCCAACGTTTGCTTAGAGTTCCTAATTTCTCTCAAAGCCATTAGATACATTTTTGGTTTCCAAAAGGAGAAGCTATCATAACTTTAATCTACGCTTGGAAGAAAAAAGAGTTGACAGCTTCTTTCTAGTTGCTCTCATTCATAACCGAAGTTTTCGGCTAAACGGAGTCTTTGAAGACTTTGAAGTCATAACCGAGGTCTTTGAAAACTCAAAATCACCACTAGTATAAACCAAGTTGTGTGTACGTTGAAAAACAAGTGCAGTTTTACTGTCTTTTTCACAACAATTAGCTTGAGTTCATTCAAAAATCACATGATATGATACAAAAATAAGTAATATGCTTTTTTAGTCTATATTTTGCTCTTATTTTAGAAACAACGAAGTTTTCCAGGGTTGACAAAAAATGGCAATAATGCTTGTCATACCATTCAATCTATTTGATAGACCTAAGAAAGAGTATGAAAAAAAGCATGACAAGCATTTTTCTATACTATGAAATTATATATTCAGCATTTCTACCACATTTTGGTTTAAATGACAAGGTTTTTTCACACTTTTTTATCAGAAAGATTATATGAAAAAAGCAAAAGCATTTTTCTGTTCTATGAAATAGTATGCTAAGCATTTTTCCATAAATGAAAAAACAAAAAAGTTTTGTTTTCAATTATGTGTTTCATCCGAAACACGCTGAACATCAAAATTCTGTCATAAAAAAGTCAGATTGAAACTGGCAGTTACCATGCAGATAAACTGCATGTGATGATTTAGCCAAGCAAAAAAAGTTAGGCAAGTAAGGCAAGTAAATTTCGCTGGTTGAGAAAAAGGGCGTTTTGGGCACACATTTTTTGGGATTTTGTGGGCACAAAATTCAACCTGGACTAAGTTATAAACACAAAAAATCTTTTTTGTCGTGAAATATTTAATCAAGCAGAGAAGCAAGTTTGCAACCAAAAAGGATGGAACAATTTTTACCTCAAATATAAATTTTACCAGAAAAAAAATGCAGACCATATAATTTTCATTTACAAAATTGTATAAAGAGCAGTCAATTTTTTGTTCAAACAATTTGTTTAATGACAAAATTGCTCTCATGTTTTTTGTTTGAGCATGTTTGATTGAGTTTTAAAACAATTCGAATAAAACAAGACTGCTCGTATCAGGGCGAAGCCCTGAATGTTCCGACCGCCTTTTAATGTTTATGGAGCAGTAATAACATTTAAAAAATTAAATGAAATGAAACAAAATGAAAACTTTTCTTTCTTAAATTTGAATTTTTTAAATGAAAATTATCCCCCCACACGCCATTTTAAGTACAAAAGGATAAATTTTGCACCTTGTAACAAGTCAATTATGGCAAATAAGCTTCGTTCAACCAATTTGGAACGATTTCTAAGACGGATTAAATCTCGCTTACGCGTTAATAGCGCGAAGTTTATCGCGCGTTAATTGTCCCAAATTGGCCAAAATGGCAATCTTTAAACCCTCATAACTTAAGAAAAAAGATCACAGGTGAAATATCTTTTCAGTTTTAAGCTCAGAACAACAATACCTTTTGAATGATATAAAAAAAATTCCGTCAAAAATGGCTAGTTAAAAAGTCGAAATTTGTCTGAAGAAAAAAAAACCACCCCGAGCACAATTATTCCCTTACTTTATTATCGAAAGTCGGAACAAAAAGGCTTGTCATAAAAGTTTCTTCTATAAAATTGTATCATAAGCATATTTTACATAGACTCCATATACGAAATTGTATGATAGGAATTTTTATTGGATAGTCCTCAACCTGGGTTATCTCGTCCAACTCGTCAGCAATAACTCTAGATAGCCGGAAAATTTGGTACAAAATCTTTCTTCAGGTTATAGGTGGTTCTTTTTTTTTTGCAAAAGTGCAGCTTTTTGACTTGTTTACTTATTTTAACTTAAACTCCCTTCAACTCACAAAAATTGTATGATATTCTCGCAACCAATTGGTCAGCGATACCTCTACGCTGCCAAAAAGTTAGATGCAAAAGCTTTCTTCAGGCCTTGAAGAAAGCTTTTGCATCTAAATTTCTGACCATTTAGAAGTATCGCTGATCGATTGGTTGAGAGAATATCATACGACTTTTGCGAGTTGAAGCGAGTTTAAGTCAAAATAGGTGAACGATAAAAAAAGCTGCTTTTTTGCAAAAAACTTACCATCTATGGCCTGAACTTCAGTCCATAGATGGTACATTTTTTCAGCTAATTTTAGTTCAAATTTTACTTCAGAAGCAGCCATTATTTTGAGTTTTTTGATTTGAAGCAGTTGCAAAAACAAATATTATTCTGCACAAAATGCGTCTATCTTCTCTGTTTATTTTGATTTTTGGTTCCAAATTATGTCTGTCCTCGTCACTAGAGGAGCCTTTTCTGTTGCCGTTTGGACCAGAACATGGCGACACTTTCAATACCAAATCGCTTGCAGGGTGTTCTGCACAACAAAACCTAAGCTATTCATTCCAGTTCGGCCAGGCTAATTACTCCAAGTTGTTTGTGTGCATGAATGGATACATGTCGCTTGATCAATCTGTCATAAAATATGATCCGGATGATATGGACGATTCAACAGTTCCATTGATCGTCCCATTCTTCAGTCTCATGCAGACTAATGACAATTTTTACGATAGAATGTGTGAGTTTGAAGACCACTACGTCGACAACTACTTCGAATTAGTCTGCTCACTTCGAAACAAGTGGAATCAAAATGGAACAAACGAGAGCTTTTCGTTAAGTTTTAATCAATACTTCGTCACAGACTTCGACATTCGAAACAGCGTAACCAGTTGGGTGGAGAAAACATTCTACAATAGCGTGTTTGACTTGCAGTACGACGACGAAGTAGCTCTGAAAGTTTTTGGAGAAGATACAACTAAATATGTAAACCTTGCTAACAATATCCTGAAACGAGAGATGAATGAATCTGATCGGCGCATAACTCAAGCACTGGTTCGCAGATCGATTCCTGATTTTCAAGCGGAGTGGGGTTACGTTGCCACTTGGTATAAGGTCGGCAGATACAGTAACAGGATTGACGCATTCAACAGCTTCCAAGTAATGATTGTTTGTGGATCTGCTTTGGGCTACAAGCGTTGTTTCTCCATTTTCGACTTCTTCGAGCTTCAGTGGGCTTCTTATTGGTGGCAAGTTAATTTCGCCAGAAGTGGCTTTGTGGATGGACATGGTCAGTAATATTTCTTCTTTTTGTCGGAATTTAGTATGTTGAATAATCGTAGAGTCCATTTACTGCAAAATAACTAACTTTAGAGAGTTGCTCTGCGCTTGTGTCAAAATTAAAGAATGCAAACTTGCTTCCTACTTATTCTTAACTTTACTTTCAAATTCAACTTTACTGTGCTTCAAACTTTGCAGTCCAGTAAACTTGAATTTGAAAGTAAAGTTAAGATGTCAGAAGCAAGTTTTCATGCTTTACTTTTGTCATGCTTCACTTAGAAAGAAAAGATAAAAACGACTGCATACGCATTAGATTTGGTTGTCTGTAAAACAACACTTGATCATTGCAGGTGCAGCAAATTGTGTAAATGCACTTTGGGTGAACAAAATTAAGCGCAAATTCAGGTTTTTACTCTCAAAAATGACTTCTTTTTATGTCCATTTTGGACAACATTTAATTTCAGCTAAACTTTTTCGTAGACTAAAAGCAAATGATCGCACTAGATATCCGCTATGAAACGATCAAATCGTTTAAAAGAATAACCAATAAACTCCGGGTCTGAAAGTGACAGTTTTCGTCTTCTGCCCTAAGTTTTTCAATCGGCATGAAAAAGTAAATAACAACCAAGTTTAGTTAAAGTTTTCACAATGATTATTTCCATTTTCTCGCTGAGAATGCTTCATGTCGAATTTTACTCCGCTTACTCGAGAAAGAATTCACTACGATGCATAACATAGTACAGATGAGGAAATCTGGCCTTTTCAGGCCCAGATTTTATCAGAAGGTCTTTGAAACCAAAATTAGATCATTTCATAGAGGGTAGCTTTGATCATTTGCACTTGGTCTATGTAAAAATTCAACTATGCTGAAAATCGAAGTTAATGGAGTCATAAATGGTCCTTAAAAACAATGCAACAAAGAAAGTAAAAACGCAAATTTGCGCTCAATTTTCTCCAATAGTATCCCAAACCAATTTTTTAGAATGATAAAATTGGGGATGTTAATCATTGCCTTAAGTAGTAGTTTCGCAGTTGTTTTTTTTTCACGCCTTAGGGAATTATTTTACTATCAGAGGGCCGCCAGGTCCAAGGTTAGGGACTCAATTGCCCGAATGCGTGAAAAAAAACAGTTGTGAAAATGCTAACAGTGTGAGTGTAAATAAACTTTTCACAGTAATTGGACGCACGCTGCAGGTTAATTAATTGGTCACTCAGCAAACTTCGCGTACCGATCTTTTCATGAACTGCGTATGAACGCATGCAAGTTGACTCCCGTACCTTACAAAAACTTGGAAACCAGATCTGAGCATCGTAAAATCTTGCCTATTTCAGATCTTGTCCAGACATGGTGCATGTTTCGTATGGACAACATTGGACATGTCTGAATCAGGACTGAGGCAGGTACGGATTCTACCACAAAAGCAGATCTGCTCAAAGTCTGATTCAGACCTGGGGCACACATGGGTCAGACCTGGTGCAGATCTGTTCAGATCTGACCCATATATGTTCCAGGTCTGAATCAGAACTTGAGCAGATCTGCTTTTGTGATAGAATCCATACCTGCCTCAGTCCTGATTCAGACATGTCCATGTCCAAACGAAACATGCACCATGTCTGGACAAGATCTGATAAAGGCAAGATTTTAAGATGCTCAGATCTGATTTCCAAGTTTTTGTTGGATAGATTTCCACTCACTAAAATTTCACAAAGACTCCGGGGCAGATCGATTCAAGGGTCTAAAAACAGTTTTGATCAATTTTTTACATCAGTCAAGGCATTACTTTCGAGAACATTATTTTATTCCATTTTACATTTTTCAATTTAAAAATACGTAGAAATATTTGTTTTCTAATTCATGTTAACCCTGCATATTGCAATTTATTGTTCAAAATCAAGCTTAAAAAATGAATTAGTTATCAGAATTTTGCATCATGATTGCTTTTGTTCTTTTGACAAATAAGGCAAGTTGCGGGTGTTTCTTGCAGATAAATAGACGGTATTTTGAATAGTTTTTTGTAATCCTTTCGCTTTGAAATGTTTCCATCTGAAAATGTAGAGAATAGAAGCCACACGTTGGCCAGAAAGAGACCATTTGATTAAAAATGACAAAACCTTTAATCGCCTAGCCTCAGTCTTAAGTTTGCAGCTTGTCTTGTTTGAAGGCTATGGCTCATTTCTAGCGTCAAATCTTTGGCATCAGTGTAAGTCAAAATGCGGGGAAGTGACAAATCACTTCACTCGCGAAGTTTATTTTAATATTTTTCAGAATAGTGCATAGTCAAATAAGGTATGCATTTCAATTCTATGTGTTATTTCACTTGTTATTTAATTCTATGTGTTATTTCAATTCTATGTGTTATTTAAACGGAGCCTTGCATCACTTGCTATGCAACGCAAGCATAGCATTCAATTAACATTTTAAATTTCTTAGAAGCCACACGGTGGCCAGTCAATAGGCAGAACGGTTTAGAGCAGAATGGGTCCAAGAGGAGAAAAACAGAAAAAAAATCAACTTTTATTAGCTAATCGGTAAATTAATTATCAGAAATGTCAATATGCTTGGAATAAAAGAAAAAAACTGAAAAAAAATTTTGTTTCGCAGGTTTTTATTTCTAGCCACCCGACTTTTCGTTCCAGAATTATTACAAACACATTATTCTAAAGCTCTACTTCTGTAGATTTTATTTCTATACGTGCTTTTCAAAAACTGAAAACAAGGACCTGATTTGTAAACGAGTTTTAGTGTTATTTGTTAAAATAACTATTTTCAATGATAAAAACAAGACACGTGACAAAAGTTGAGAACTCATTCGAAAATTTCAAAAATTTTTTTTTCAGATCTGATCATGTCTGATGCAGTTCAGGACAGATATGCAATCTCACAACAAATGGATTCACCCTGGGCATATCTGTATTTTTATTTTTTTTCTGTAACATTAAAATTTTTGTATCTTCCAGGTCTGAACATGTCTGATACAGTTCAGGACAGATATGCAATCTCACAACAAATGGATTAACCCTGGGCATATCTGTATTTTCATTTTATTTCTGTACGGGCTAAATAAACTCTCAATGCCACATTAAAGATAAAGGGTTTCAACTTAAAGTAAAGAGGAGAAAATTGTTCATCAAAGATATGCGTAATTAGTTTAATTCGTTCAATGCAATTAAACAGAAAAGGAAAGGTAGAAGTCAGTTTATACCTTTCTTCGGCCCATTTTGCCCAAATCACGTAACCTATAGCACTCCTTGTAATTTTATTTAAAAAAATACATTTAAATTATTATGGTCGTACGATTATGGTCCTATGTTTTGACACACAAAAGCAATTTTGAGGAAATTTGAAACTAAAGTATGTGCTACGCATGATTAGTCATTTTCCCTGAAAAATATACGTTTTTCTAATTTACTTCAATCAAATCATTGCAAGTTCTGAGAAATTCAGAACTCAATCCATGTTGTATTGAAGCCAGGTATCTCTGCCCCAAGACAGCTACGTAGAAGAGAAACTGGGTACTCGACAAAGTTTGAGTAATTCTTATACCAATTACAGTAATCCTGAGACCAGCTGTGTCGTACGGGTAAGTTGAAACTCGTTAAGTTAAAAACGTTAGTTGAAAATGGATAAAATTTATCAGTCGCCGCAGTGATGAGACTAAGTTAGATAGGTTAATAATTTTTAACACGTAATAATATAGGTTATAGGTTTTTCCATGCACTAAGATACGAGGTTTGAGATGGTAAGTTGGTTAGTTTCATCTGGTGAGTTTTTCGGCGCCCGAATTTCTCATGTATTAAGATATAGTATAGATTTAATAATGTATAAGCATATGCAATAGAACTTCCATGTATTACAATAAGGTATAATGTCTGTAATGTCTTAAGATGCAAAATTTCATTATTATGATAATAGATGTTAAGAAAAATGAGTTTTTGCGCATGGACGTCGTTCTTGGAAACTTTTCAAATTTTTGGAAAAATTTTTATAGCTCCTCGGAAAACGTTATAACATCAATGGTATTTGATATATAGAGTGTAAATTGATACCAAAAATTTTTTCAAATGGTATCGTGTTAGGACATCGAAACAAATAAATGACTGTGGTTTTTGCAAAAAAAAATCGAATTTTTTTTTCATTTTCTCTCAAATTTTTGAAAATTGATGAGATTTCATCGAATTTCAGCTAGAGCATGTGTCTATATTTTTCTGAATATCAAAAACAGAAAAATCAAGAAAACAACCATATTTTCAGAGAAAGTGAAAAAAATATATTCAATTTGCAATTTTATAATTATAAATGGTTTTCTGTACAGCTAAACATAAACTTAATTAAATTTTTCAAAAGATGAATAAGAGCAAACTAAGATAAAGTTTCCCGAGTTAAATTTATGGTTCAATTTTTGTTCGGATTTGTTTCTAATGATTAGCCCAAACTAATTTAAAAGAACTTTGTGTCTAATTTACTTCAATGAAATCATAAATCATTGCAAGTTCAGAAATTCCACAATTTACTTTCCTAAAATTCCACAGTTTACTGGTTTTTCTTTTGTGCTAGTACTAAATCGATTTGGGTGGTGGAAGTTATTTATGAGCATACAAGAATGTTGTTAAATTTTAACTAAGACCTCTTCATTAATGTTCATAATCTCTACTTTGCGAATACAACATAATGTATCATGAATTTTTTGTAGATAGAAAATTATTTTTTTTTAATGATTCTGCTTTCTAATTTTTAATGTCTCGCAATTTAACATAGTTTGCAAAAAACGTATAGTCAAAATTAAGGAACTCAGGGTAAAAATTGTATCAATTGAGCAAAAAATTAAAGGTAAAGGTAAAACCAGTACTACAAAACGACTAAATATTACTATGTAATTTAGAAAAACTTGCATTTAGCAAAAAAACTCTCTAATTTAGCAGCCATTGTGAATTTTTTCAACAAAAATACAATTTTGGTGACCATTATCTATCAGTATTTTCTTACAAAAAAAGTCTTAAAGTCTTTTTTTT